TTTACAATCAAATGTAAACTAAACAAGTGTTTGAAATGCTTCTATGAAAGCTATATCACAACTGTGATTTACACTTAAGTTTAAGAACTTATGAAAACTATTTAGCAAAGAATAGTAATTTGTATGAGAGCTTAGAGAGAGTTTTCAATGAATTGTTCAATTTTCATCAACTGAAGAAAGTTGTTGAAGGCTTGCTTTTATAGACTTAGAAGTCCAAGACGTTGCAAGCTTGAAGACCGTGTACTGCAAAGTAGCTGTAACCTTTTATCTTCACATCACCTGACCTTTCCTAGAAGTAGAACGTTCAGAGAAATCCTTTTTGCCAGTGTTCTTGTGTCTAGCATAAAAGAGGAAAGAGTCGTTTGGCATAACCAACGGATATAACTTTGAATAATCTTCTTCAACAAGTTTCTAATTCACAACAATCAACATCAGAGCTTTGAGTGATCTGAGTCTTGATGTCTTCAGAGTTTGCTGTATCAGAGTATTGCAGCAAGTGTGCTTCAGCGTGAAATCAATTATAGCAGAGTTTAGAGATCAGATCCTCAGTACTTGCAGTGAACAGTACTATCAGAGTCTTATGAAAAACAGAGCTTGAAACTCTTCATACAAAGTATTCAGTCTATGCTTCAGATGCTTCTGTAGCTTCTGCTTCAGATCCTTCTGTAGGCAGCGCTCAGAGTCTTCTGTAGGCAGCGCTTAGAGTCTTCTAAGAGATTCTTCTGACGTTTCAGAGCCTTGCGTAGTTCAACGTTCAGATCCATTTTTGCTTTCAGAAGAATGTTAAATTTAACATCTGCAGCAAAAAATACTTGAACAAATTTAGAGTATATAATTTCTTAATACAAAATTTCATAAGTGTTATCATCAAAACATAGAGATATAACTAAGAACCAATTTGTGTTCTAACAGTGGTAAGGTTGAAAATTGTGTCATAAGTTTTTATCAAAAAAGTTGGAAGGGTTATGAGTTGTGGAAGTGGAACCCAGAGGGTCAAAGTTCATTATTTAATGATGTATTACTTTAAGTGAGTCTTGTTAGGTGAGGAAGATTAAATACCTGGAGATGAAGGTTTTAAAAACTTTATTTTAAGCCATCAACAAATTCAATAGAATCATTAGAGCTTTCACAACATATATAACTAACATGAGATTCAATTAATAATAATATTTATAAAATAAATAATTATTTGATTAAATATAAAGATATCTGGGCTAATGACATACAAGGCCCATTAGGGTTAAGTGGGAGGAATGAGCATATAAAAAGCATATGTTATTCCTCCTAAGAGACTTATCTAGACAGTCTCACTTGCCTATATCCTTGTAGCCGCGGCTAGCACAACATTCTTCAAAGGTGATTGTTCGCATGGACTGAGTAGAGGTGTTGCTCTTTTGGGACCTTGGTGATCGTCTCCTTGACGCTTCAGGAGGTAAACACGTTAACTCATATTGTTTCTCGTCGTTCTAAGTGATTTTGACAAATAGGTTTTTTTTTCCATATTGATTTTAACTCAAATTGATTCTCATTGTTCCAAGTGATTTCAACAAATATGGTTATTATGCTTTTGAGATTGGTTTTTTCTGCTTCTCATATTGATTTTAACTCATTGATTCTCGTTGTTCTAAGAGATTTTGATAGATAGGGTTTTTATGCTTTTGAGATTAGTTTTTTCCGGTTTTTTTCTAGCGTTCGAGACTCTTGATTCTTTGAGTATTTGCACTTAAACTCATGAAAATATGAAATACAACAAGGTATTGTAATGATTCGATTGTTAGTTTGTTGTACTAAGAAGGGGGCGAAACACGTAGGGTTAGAATCAAAAGGGACCAGAAAACAACAAATCGATACTAATCAGAGTAAATCAAAGAGAAGTGGTATTTGAGACATGAAAACATGATCGATTTATTGGGAAATTAATCTAAAATACGATATACACCCATTTACGACAAGATACACATTAATTTACCCTATAGATTCTACCACGAGCCATGTGCAAAAGAAATCCTATCACTTAGAATGAATCACAAACCCATCGGAGGATGCGAAAACTCAGAAAGTACAAAGGAGCCATATAACGATCAAGGGAAATTACGATTAGAAGAGGAAATCAACTCACCAAGCAGAAATCCTAAACAATTTGACAAAAAAACTCTAAAAAACTCATTTAAAAGAAATCTAAGAGCAAGATCGAGAAAATAACCTTAAATTTTTTTGTCTCTTAGATTCACTTAATGAGAAAATCTATGTGTATTTAATTATTAAAATAGCTAAACATTATTTTATAAAGTTAACAAAATACTATAAAACAAAACAATTCAAAAGAATAAATTAATGAAAAATAATCGTGAAATATTTTTGTGAAATACATTATAATTGAATGCTTAGAACTTAGCGAGGTGACTTTATTTAAAAAAAACAAATTATTAATATTTAATTTATTTAAAATAATATTTTGTTTAATATAAAATAAAATATTAGTAGTCATTAAACATATTTAAAAAATATTTTGATGAGATAATAAGGATATCTTCTAGTTTGATTAGAGGTTTTGGATAATTTAACCTATCACCCCCCAAATTATACCTGACACTCCCAAATTTCCGTGCGAAATTTATAATAGTTATAATGAAATTTCCAATACTAAATAAAATTTTCGATATATCAGAAATTTCGGAACTTCCAATAAGTTTCAAATATTTCCCGTACCAAAATTAAAGAATATACTAGAAATTTTAGAATTTCTTGTTACAAAACTAACTATAATTTTTTTTGAAATTTCCGGTATAAAAAATGGAAAATGTACTAGAAATTTTAATGTAAACAATAAAAAATTTAAAATTTTTGATATATATTTTAATGTAAAATACTAAAAATTTTGAATTTTTTGTATGAAGTATCGAAAATTTTGAAAAGCACAGTATAAAAACTCATTGTTTATAAAATTTTCAATAGATGCACGAAATTTCCAGTATCATCCCACAAATTTGAAAGATTTGCTGCTGGATTGTAAATTTTGAAATTTTAAAAAATGAATTTGTAGGAACAGTATCGTCTTTTCATGTGTATTGGAGGGTGTCAGGTCTAACAGGAGGTGTCAAATTAAATCTCTGAAATTTTAGATTCAAATCCATCCTTTAATAATAGATTTTGGATTAAAACTCAAAACATAGAAAAGTGTTAAATTTTATTAAAATTTTGTTACCACTCATTTGAAAAATTAATCTCTAACAATTATTTGCAAAAAATACTTGATTTCTAAAAAAAAATTATATTAGTATGTATTTTTTATTGAATTTTAGAACAATGTTTTTTAAAAAGTATTTTAACATTTTCAAATATTAACTCTTAAAAATAAATAAATAAGATGTCTTTACACAAACTATTAAAAAAACTCGTTTAACCGAACAATATTCTAATTTTTTACTAACCCTCATGGAACCTTTTCATAATTTATTTTATCTAAGTGTAATTATTTGATATAGTATCATTTATCTACCAATTTTATCTAATGCCATGCGAGAAATTAATTTGATCCTTCTCTAAAGTTTATGTCGGTGGAGTGTATCAACACCAAGGGCATAAGGGTAAACCACACAATTCTCGAATTCTCATTCTAGATTTATTGGATAATTTCCACTTTTCGACAAGTCAGCATAACAGCTATGCGTAGGGAGCAAGCAGCCTAAACGGCGACGTTTTGCATCCATCATCTCAATTCTCAATGCACCCTTTCGTAACCAGCGTTATAGACTTGTAGTTAATTCATTGACATAAATTTACATCCGAAGGATCAACTAAACCAAAATCTCATAAGAGTATTTTGAAACAAACCAAATACACGAAATTACCAAAATGTCCATATCTTAAATAAGTGGGAATATCTATTTGCACGTCTCTTTCTGACTTTCACTATATATCACTCTCTCTCTTCTCTCTTGCGATTCAATTTTTCCTTTTGGTTATTATTTCTCACATACACAACACCGAAACCGCCTTTTTCAAAGGCTACAGCGTCTCTCTCTTCTCTTCTTCTTTTCCCTCTTCGATTCTTAGGGTTTCGTAAATACTCCATCAGAATGTTCCACAAAACTCTCTAATTTCATTATGATTTTCTTCTTCTCAACACTCGCTTGATTTTTTTCATTCACTTTTTATTCATTTCTTCAGGTAAATAAATAAATTCATTAATCCTCTCAGTTTTTTTTTCCGTTGTGTTTTTTCTTTCTTCCTTTGCATGTTTAGGTATTGGTATACTCGATTATGAGTTGGGTTTGGATATTGTTGTTTTCTAGGGTAAGGAAGAGATGATTTTGTTTTTGCGGAGAATTTGTTTTCTTAATTAGTAAGTTATTGAGCTGTTTCTTTTTTTTTTAAAGTCAAACCGTGTTGAAATTTCAGTTTTTTTAACGATATTTATGAATATTTAAGTGTGTATTTAAGAAATTCAAATGCTAGATAGATACTGTGAAGTGTAGCTTGAGTATAGGGTTACTGGTTTTGATTTTTCTCTATGAATTTCAGCTTCATGAGATTGTTTGGGGCTTAATTTGAGTTGGTTCTGTTTGTATGTGTACAATGTATGAGGTTTAATTTGAATTTGTTGGGTTTTTGTAATATTAGACTAGGTTTTGATGTTATTTAGTATGTTGTGATTGTTTTTGCCAATTGTAATAATGAAAAACCCTAATTTATGCCTAATGCCATTTTCATGTTGACTTTGTTTTTGGGTTGTTTGTTTACTTTGCACTGTGGCTGTCTGTAGTGGTTAGAGTCCTGGTTTGGGTATGTATGATGTTTCTGAATCTAGGAATGGGGATCCTTACTTTGTGATTTTATGGATAACTTGATATTAGTGTATCCTAGGTCACTTTCATGCCATCTTTGAGTTTGTTTGACAATTGGTTTTAATTACTGGTGCATTGACTTTCAGATTGAAGCTGCTGATTTATACTTATAAGTTACAAGCCTGAGTTTTGAATTTTTAACCATTCAAAGTCATGTTTAACGAAGGAGCTCCTGAGTTTGTTGTTGATCAAAGCATGTATTACCCTGCTCCCACCAATTATGGTTTTTACTGTACAGGTAAGTCCGGAAATCTCTGTACCTTTTTGGCCTTGGGGTTGAATATGGTTGATCATGTGTTATGTAATGTATAAATATGCATCATATTGACTGCTTGGTATTTATTGTGGCCAGGATTTGAATCACCCGGTGAATGGGAGGACTACCCTAGGATTTTTGGTGTAGACGGTCCTGATATTCAGTATACGGTGAGTTGGTTCTCCTCTCTGCCTGCTTATGTCACTGTCATATGTTGGACTGACTCTGATTTGAATTCTTATTTCTCTGACAGGGTGCGCAAGATGAAAGTTTTCCATATGTATATTTTACACCTAGCTATGGATTTGCACAGTCTCCATACAATCCATACAATCCTTATATTCCAGGTGCTATGATGGGAGTTGATGGGTCATTTGGAGGAGCGCAACAGTATTACTCCATCCCCAATTACCAAAGCCCTATTTCTGCACCAGCTTATTTTCCTCAGGTTCAATCAGAACATTTTCATGACAGTTCTGTTGATCCATTATTTGACAACAGTGCTTCTGTCAATAGACCTGATGGAAGAGGTACGAACCATAAGTTCAATTCAGCCTCTGCTGCTTTTACTATGAACTCTTCAAAACCATTATCAAGTCAGACAAGTTCCTTAGTCTGGGAACCTGAGGGGCCAAGAGCTGATGCTTTGGCAAAGAAGGATTTGACAAATGGAAGCGGCCCTAACAGTGGTTTTCCTAATTTTGCTTCATCACCTTATCATCAGGTAATTAGCTTACTCTTTTGAGCTGCATTGTAATTTGAATGAGTGTGTCAAGTCAGTGCTGGCGTGACAGATATGTTGCCTGCTGCCATAATTAATCTGTCTAATGAGGTCTGCTATGGCGGCACCATAGGCTGCAGCAGTATGTTTATATGGCAGAATTTTGATCTTCCCCCATTGACAACATTGTCTCAAGTCAGTTTTGCTTTTGACATATTTAGGCGACAATCATTGCACACTGACAATATTTTTGCAAGTTAATACTCTTACAAGTCAGCTTTTCCATGGTACTATGTTTTTGATTAGGAGACACTTCAAGGGAATGACTAGATGTTTATTAGTTTATGGATGTCTTTGATGCTGTAAATATATTGGAGTAATTGTATTGTTGTATTTGCCGATTTGCTTTACAATGTATGAAATTTTATTATCTTAGTGAGATTTTATTTTTGAGAATGCTCAATAGTTATATTTCCCCATTGTGGTTTTGTAGGCTAGAAGTGCAGATGTCTCATTCCAGCCTAAAGATACTTTTTCCAATGGAAATGTTTTGTCCCATCGTAATCAATTGAATGTAGCTGCCCCAATGAGTAATGGGTTTTCTGACTATGGATTGAATGCTTCTGGACAGTCTGCAATTGCTAAATTTCGGCCAAAGGTTCATGCTGCTAAAGTTCCGGGTGATTTAAATAGGGGCAGTGATGTATTATTGGGTGAGCTAAATCGGGGCCCTAGAACTAGTAGGCCGAAACATCATATGGCTGTCAAAGCCTATACAGCCAAGGCAGGAGATGCCAACACTCAAGAGAACATTATTTATACTGATCAATATAACAGGGAGGACTTTCCTATTGACAATGAAATTGCGAAGTTTTTTGTTATAAAATCATACAGTGAGGATGATGTTCACAAAAGCATTAAGTATAATGTGTGGTCATCAACTCCCCATGGAAACAAGAAACTGCAGAGTGCCTTTGAAGACTCTAGGAGAAAAGCTATTGGAAAATCTGGAGGCTGTCCTATCTTTCTTTTCTTTTCAGTGAGTTTCTATTACATTGATGCATTGCCTATACTTCTAAAACTCATGTATGAGTTTAAGCTTGTTACTCTCTTCTATTTATCATACTGACCCTTTCTTTTTCAATGTAGGTTAATGCCAGTGGTCAATTTTGTGGAGTTGCTGAGATGGTTGGTCCTGTTGACTTTGATAAGGATGTGGACTTCTGGCAGCAAGATAAATGGAGTGGGAGCTTCCCTGTAAAGTGGCACATCATAAAAGATGTGCCAAATACCAATTTTAGGCACATTATACTAGAGAACAACGAGTTCAAGCCTGTAACTAATAGCAGAGACACACAAGAGGTATGTAAAGTTATGTTCAGTAGTTTATTTATCAATTAAGCATATTTTCTTTTAATTTGGGTTGATCGTAACTCAACCTTACATAACCGGCTTGTAAGGTGAGGACTACCCACATTTATAAGTACATTAACCTTTTTTTCTCTGTCAAAATTTTTTATTTGAATTTGTGAATATGGTATATTGTACATTATTAAGAAACAATCGAGTAGCTAAATCTCCCACATATGCAAACAACTAGATTGTGTAGACACTTTTGAATTATTAGACTTCTTTCCTTGATTATTTGTTGAAGTAAGTGCATATTATTTTCTTCCTTTCGTCTACTCTAGGAGCTCTTCAGCTTGGCTTGGGTTTATTTTTTCTCCATTCTATTAATATATTTTTGACCATCAAGTTCCCATGTTGTGTGCAGATAATGTATAGGAAGGGTCTGGAAATTCTGAAGATATTCAAAAATTATACTTTGAAGACATCTTTGCTTGATGACTTTATGTACTATGAAAACCGACAGAAGGTCATGCAGGAGGAGAAAGCTAAATTTCTAAGCAAGAATTTTGGAAGTCCATCATCAATATCAGTGTTGGAGCCGCCTCGAAAGCTGACTTATGCTTTTGAAATTCCTCCTGTCAGTGATGAGAAAAATTCGAAGATGGACGATCTCGATAGCTTAAAACATACTTCAATTTCAAGTGTTGGAGCTACTGTTAATAGTTCCGATGCCACCAGCAATGCATCTGTTGATGAAAAGGCCGAGACAGGTGAAGTTGATAGCCAAGATATTTCTTCTGTCCTGAAGATTGGTTCTGTCACTATTACCCCGAAACAGGTACCAATTGATGTTGTCACAGTAGGCTCAATGCAAGTTAAAGTTAATGGATTTTCCGAGTCTCCTGGTGTTTTAAAGGTTGGGAGTACCCCACTTGATTCCAGATCTCTACAGGCAGGCAAAGGAACCTCTGACATCAACAATGGATCTCAACCTTAAGTTTTGTCTGGGGATGTCAAAGGCATAATTTCAGTCTAAATTGAAAGATGGATTAATATTTCCCTGATTGTTTCACAATCGGGAAATTGGGTTTCTTTTTTATATTTGTTCGTATCTTTCACTTGATTGATACAAAGACCAAACCGTTAGATGAATCTTTCTAGCGAGTTTGATACAGAAAGCTTTAAAAGACTTCCTTTTTATATTTTGTCGGTCAGCAAACAGTTCACATGGTTGTTTTCTTCCTTGAAGATTTCATCCATTATTTTGTTATATTATGAAAACTTTTGCTCCCTTTGTTACATGTCTCGTTCTGTTATGCTTTGAGGTTTCCGTTCTGTTATGTTAAGATGAAACTTGTCATGTGCTTTTTTAGTTTGTTTGATTTAAAATAAAGACATGTAACATCTGAATCAATAAAAGTTTGCTTCAAGACTGAAATTGAATCTGTGTATGTCTTTCTTGGGTTTTAAGTGAATTCAAAAAGACCGAACGTGTCCCACAACTTCCATTATTCTTTAAAAAAAATTGGCATTTGATTGCCTATTCATTACGAGTGATGTCAAATTCAAGGTTATCACGTGTTGACACTTCTTTCAAGTTAAAGGGTATCTATCATGTGTGACACGTAACATGGCATGGATGATACATGGCTTAGCAATAACATTGAATCAAGACTCTATGTTGGTGCTGAATTGGATATTTGTCTGTCAGGAGCTTGTAGATAAGGATGATACAAAAGTAGATCTGGTTTTTTATTATTAACATTTAGAATATGAGGCGGTTTCTATAGTGAGCAAGTGCCCCATGAAGGATTTTTTAGGGGATTGCTAATTGAATGTATTTGGAGGTTACATTTCCCACCATTTTAAAACTCAAAATTGTCTTAAAATTTTGAGAGTATGCTTTTGCATGGACACTTCCGAATACATTCGGATATATGCTTCTCGACTAAATTTGGAAGAACACTTCTGAAATATTGGTTTGATTTAGCTGAATCCCATAAACAGTAAGAGGAGTTGTGTGCCAACTGGTAAAAATCATAGCACTTAATAGTATACCAACTGGTAAAAATCATAGCACTTAATAGTATAAGGGATAAGATGTGCAGACTTTTAGGAAGTAGAAGATTTAATGTTTATAATTTTGAAATGCTAGCGTGTTGATCATTTCTACCGTTGATAGTGTTGTGGGTGTATATAATATGGTTGAATATGGTCATAGCCAGATTCTACGTCTTATTGAATTTTCTTCTTTTACTTGGCTAGAAAAGAAAATATTTTTGAATATCCTTTTAAAAGAAATGGCATTTGAGTATTCTTTACAAACATGCATAAAATAAGTACAATAAAAAGAGTCAATATTTAGTTTTGAAATATATTTTTGCACACATAATACACCACAATACTTCGTAAATCAATCATTTACTCCATTTTGCAAACAAATAGTTTAAAATTATAATTTTAGATTAACTTTTGGCAAACTGAGAATTATTCACTCTCAAAGTATTAATGTGTGTACATTTTGAATACGTTCAAATTTTTTTTTTTCGAATTTTAAGAATATTATTGATTTTTCGTCGATGTGTGGGAACATCACGAGTGAAATAAACAATTCTCATATATTTTTCAAATACTCTGCCTAAATTCAAATTTGTTTTTTATTAAAGTTATCTTTGGGATGAAACTTCATTTTTAATTGATTTTTGATAAGATGTGTATGAAAGTTATCTTTTATAGAGTGGTTGAAAGTTATCTTTTGGAGAATGGTTGAAAGTTATATGCTTGATAAACATTTACTTTTTATTGAATGCGGTTAAATAAAAAATAAAGGATAATGAATACATCAAGAGATAATGGATAATTTTTAGATATTCTTTATATTTTTATCAACTGAGCTAAATAAACAACAATGTAGTGTGTATTTGGAGATTAGACAAATATATTTGAGAATTATTCTTTTCATCCTTAGGGGTTCTCCCCCACCCGTGAAAAAAGACTCAAATATCTCGAGCGTCCAAAGATGTTTTTTTTATACACAAGTGAAACGAAATGACGAAAAATCTTTATTCTGTTAAAGTTTGATTCGAAGATGCATCTTCGTATACTTAAAAGGTTACTTCAGAGATGCATCTCTGTAAATGTCCTTAGTTCATTAGTATGTGAGCTTTTCGGAGATGGATCTCCAGAATATGCTCTGTTAGGTCAAAACAGGAATAGGAAGAAACAATGGTAAAATAAAAAATCAACATAAATTAACATCAAAATAAACATTAGATAAACATTACATAAATTTAGCAATAGATTTTATAAAAAATAGGTGGTTCATGATGTTGCAACATTCTTATAATATCTTTGGTTGATATTTGAATCTTGGCATTCATTTTAATCAGACCCTTTGTTGAGTAATGGTAAAAGGTATTCCACATAACCTTCAAATCATCATTCGTCTTTAGTTCAAGCATGGTGAACTATATCTTTTCTTTGTTGTCAATCGAGGATGAATGATACTCGAATTTGACAACTCTTTGATTTTTTTAATATCGTAAGAAAGTATTCACTTTGAATTTCAGATCGACAATAAGTAAGTCCCCGAAGACCTTAAACTAAAGAAGGGGATTTGCGCCATTGAAATACATAAATGCAATATGGAGATAAGGATTCACTCTGATTTTTGTAAAGAAAATGGAATGAGATACCTTATTTATTAAAATTGTAGGTCAATAAAGACCTAGCATACCCTGTCATATAATCAAGACAAAATTCAAAGATACATCTTCAGATTCACCATTTTTTTTCAAAAGATAAGTTATATCCGAAGATGCATCTCCGAATGATCTTCTGTAATTTTTTAATAATTAGAAGGTATATCCAGAAATGCATCTCTGGATGATCCCTTGTGTTGCTGTTGTTTTAATAATTAGAAGGTGTTTTCGGAGATGCATCTCTGAAACCATCCAAAAATTATGCAGGACTCTAAGATATTATACATAGCAGAATTTTAAAACACAAAAATTGTTCAAAAAATACCACCCGATTTTATAATATTATGTAGTGCGTAACATACAAAATGTATTACATTATTAGATTGCAATTAAAAGGCATCAAAACATATGTCACTGCATAAATCTATTGGTGGTTGATTATTCAATCTTTCCTTGTTAGCTTCTGTTTCAATGTCGCTCAACTTGGTATACTGTTTCATTTTTTCTAAAAAGTGATCTGACCAAGCTTCAACATCATGTATGAAATGTGTTGTTCACTCCAGTGATATCTTCGGTATATGACATCTCGGTTTCAAATAAACTTGAATTTTTTTTTTTATAGTCAACCAATACATATTATGAGTCCAGGTGGATTCTAAGGTGGCTTATTTCTAAGTGGAAATAATGTTTCTGAGAAAGCATACCGTGTTAAAGAAATACACAACCTATCAAACACTAGCTATAAGGTCTTATGTTTTCAGAAAGCGCATCCATTTTTCAAACGGAGCCAAACTCGTAAGACAAGGAACTAGACATTGAAAATTGCATCGTAATTTACTTTGTTCACATATAGCTTTGTGTATGATTCTCTATGCGTCTTCATCTCTTGTATAAGATTACGACAAACAAGTTGGTAGGCGTCTTCTCTCTTACTGAGCAAACCCGGAACAACTCGAAAACCATAGTTGTCGTTACCTTCGACATTTATAATCTGCTCAATTTATTTGTGCATAAAAATCAACATCTCTTCAATGTGGATGATTTTTGGAAATGGTGGTATGGGAAATGGTTTGCTAATGCGAGCACCTTTGAAAACTTTTTTTTTTTGGGGGATTTTGGAGTCGGAGAATTCGGAAAGTGTTAGTCATCATGTTCAAAGTATGTAGGAGATTGTCTCGTGGAGTTGTCACTTTGTGTCAGTTTTACCTTTTTAGGGGCACCTTTTGTTTTAACTGATTCTCACGGTGGTTTCAAATCCGAAATTTATGGATAGGAAATCTTCCTCGGTTGCTCTTTAATGTGTGATTTCATTATGTTATCTGCTTTTATGAATATCTTTTGGATCACTTACCGCTCAGTCATGATAGATATGTTTGGTTTATCATCCTTCATCACACCATCATCATCAAAACAAAGTCTCTTTGTCGGATTCCAAAAATCCAAAACCGACTTAGTAAGTCATCTCCTTAGAAGTAACATCAATAATTTCCAATAGTGAAAGTCTATACTTGTTTGTTTTGTATGTTGAGTCTATTATGAGCACAAAGGGAAAGGTGTTGAACAACTTGACGGAACCGGGATGACTCCAGAATATATCTCGAACAATGACTTTATCCTTACAAACTTTATACCTTAAAACATAGTCGTCATCTTTCAAAAGCTTCAAGAGTTGTTTCATCTTAGATTTTGGTCCTCTTATCGCCTTGTTGTCTCGAGAATGCATGTTATATATTTGCTTGATATTTGAAATATTTAAAGGTCTTTTCCGCATCAAAGACGCGATTATGTTTTTTGGCATTACTGTGTTTGATGTCATGTCTGAAACAAGTTCCCTCTCCTTTGGAACAAGGCGACATATAATGGAATGACCGACTAGCTTTTCAGTTAAGGCATGGTTATGTATACCAAAAATCACATTAAATTTCCATGTCACATCCGCCATATGACGTCCGCGTAATTTAAACGTACACTCACATTTCCTTGATCCAGTGTCATCTTGTTTCAGCTTCCTAATCATTGGTTTATGCGTGCCAGTTCTTTCGCATATCATTGTTACAAATGCTTATCTTCTATTTGTACCATTGTCACACCTTCTGATTACAATGCCAAACCCCAATTTTCCGGCTTCCTTATGGACCCTTTGTAGCATATGTTCACGAACAATAAACACTTCTTTATTTGTAAATTGTACACAAGCATCTACCTCGACAACAACTAGTCGATCACACAGTTTAACATAATCATTCGCTTCACTCGGTTGAACATCATCATTCACTTCATCCAAACTTACAATAGC